CAAGAGTGGGTAAAGACCCCTTAAACAAAAAAGGAGTGAGTGATGTGGGTTGTTTTGTGGTCTCACTGTTACGCAAATAGTCCTTTAAGGCAATTTGGTGCATGTGCTAATCCCGCCAGTGAGAGCCGTTGACACCGAGAAGAGCTCACCATAGGTGTCAATTATCTTCAACTTGGACTTTGCCTTATCTGTATGCTGAATAGATGCCTCTGTTCCTCAGGATTGAGTTATTACTAGATATATTGCTATCCTCCTGAAATATTTTTGGAAATAATTATTCCTAATCAGTGCTTCACATACACACATGTGCGCACATACCAGCTTCCAAGCTGGTTGTTGGCCACCACAGGCCTTCGTGGCTGCTCTCTGGAGACGGCTGTTTCTGGCCGTGTGTACACTTCACAGCCTTGCTCGGAGTGAGCTGGGAAGCCAGCAAGCCACTGTCTCCACCGCCCAATCTGGGAGGCACCAGCCCAGTGCCTCTGCACCTCTGCTGTGTTCTTGCCCCGGAAGCAAGTCACCCAGTCCAGTCCACACTCCTGGCATGGGACTGCACATGATGTGGGAGACCAGGAGGCAGGGTGACCAGGACAGACAGTGGGAGGGCTCCTCTGGTGCTCCTCTGACCCCCCAGAGTTGGGACCCCCTGGCTTTCTCCCACCCTAGGATTCCTGGCATCCAGGACAGCAGTCCTGAGCCCCGCAAGCCAAGGGATCGTCCACCTGCCGATGGGAAAGAAATCTGCAGGAATTCTGAGAACAGCTCACCTGCATGCCTCACAGGAGGGAGAGGCTTAGGAAGACTCTAAGGCGACAGACATGGAGCCCCAGTAGATGTGCAAGGCGGAAGTGGAGGAGGCAGTGAGCAGCGAACCTGCAGTTGGCACCACAAGGCATTGCACAGGGGCCAGGCGCAGCGGCTCACACCTGCACTCCCAGCTGCTCAGGAGGCTGAGGCAGGAGGATCCCTGGAGCCCAGAAGTTCAAGACGAGCCTGGGCAATATAGCAAGACTGGCTCTATAAAAAGTTAAAAAAAAAAATAGCTGGGCTCTGTGGCATGTGCCTATAGTCCCAGTTATTCAGGAGGCTGAGGTGGGAGGATCCCTTGAGCCCAGGAATTTGAGGCTGCAGTGAGCTGTGATTGCACCACTGCACTCCAGGGTAACAGAGTGAGAATCCATCTCTAAAAAAATAAATTTTAAGAAGCCAATTCACAGATTAGGCTAAGAGGGCGGGTGAATGGCTCAGTGGCCAAGAGCAGCCCTAGAGAACTTCCGATAAATCCAAATGGCCTGGCAGGATCAAGGGGTGGAGAAGCTCATAGGCAGAGCAGAAGGGAGGGTGGGCACCCACCCTGGGGCATAGCCAGATTGAGGCCAGGGAGGGCATGCTGCAGCAGCCACTGCCTCTGTGCGTGGGCGGGCAGCAGTCCGACCCACTCTGTGGAGTCGGAATAAGTGCTGGGAAGCATCCCTGCACGCGAACACGTAGCGGTTGTCACGTCACTTTTCTTACCATGCGGGTTGTGCCCGGTGCATGTGCTATTCCCCTCGGGCTGCCAGAGCAGCACCAGAGATGCAGGAGTGGCTTAAAACAGCACAAACAGATTCGCTCACTGTGCTGGAGGCTGGAAGTGCAAAATTGAGGTATCAGCAAGGCTGATTGCTTCTGGGGCTGGGGTGGGAGAATCCATCCCAGGTCTCTCTCCTCACCACTCATGGCCCTGGCAGTCCCAGGCACGCCTTGGCCTGTGGGCACATCCCTCCAATAGTGGCCTCCATGTTCACTTGACGGTCTACCTTATTTCTCTGCACCCCAAGTATCCTTCTTTCTCTGATAAGGACATTTAGGGCCCACTCCAACATCTCAAGATCCTAAACTTATTTACATTTGCAAAAATCTTTTTTATTCTTTTTTTTTTTTTTTTTTTTTTTTTTTTTTTTTTTTTTGAGAAGGAGTCTCACTTTGTCTCCCAGGCTGGAGTGCAGTGGCGCGATCTCGGCTCACTGCAAGCTCCGCCTCCCAGGTTCATGCCATTCTCCTGCCTCAGCCTCCCAGTAGCTGGGACTACAGGCGCCCACCACCATGCCCAGCTAATTTTTTGTATTTTTAGTAGAGACGGGGTTTCACCATGTTAGCCAGGATGGTCTCGATCTCCTGACCTCGTGATCCGCCCGCCTCGGTCTCCCAAAGTGCTGGGATTATAGGCGTGAGCCATTTTTTTTTTTTCAAATAAGGCTGTGCTCCTAGGTACTGGGGATCAGGATGTAGACTTTTGGGGGATTCTATATGACCTACCACAGAACATGTGTGTCTGGTTATGGGGGTGGAGAAAGGGGAGGAAATTCATTGAGATTCTTCTGCTCAAGCCTTACCTCTTCAGGGGCTTCTCTGGACCACACCCCCCAAAACGCACCCCTGCCCACCCAGAGATCCATTCAACAAGTGTTTGCTGAGGGCCTGCTGCGTGCCAGGTACTGTCCTCACACCAGAGAAAGAGCAGGGACAAAGAGAAGACACTCCTGCCCTGTGGGAGCTCGAATAGCAACAGGGACACAGACAGTGAAGAAGAGAGATGAGAAAAACCCAGATGCAAGTCAGGTGGGGTGAATGCCCCAGGAAAAGTCAAGTCAAGCAGGGGAAAGGGGATGGGGACTGTGATGTCAGGATTCGTGGCCAGGGCAGGCCTCTCAGGAAGTGACCTCAGAGGATGTTTGGGAAGGGCATTCCGGGCAAAGGTATAACCAGGGCAGAGACCCTGAGGGGAAGTGCCTGTCATGTCCAACGGCACAGGGCCATGTACTTGTGGTGGGCTCGGCTGAAGAGGGCAGGGGACATGAGGTAGGGTAATGGGACCAATTACTGGGCCTTCCTGTTTAGGCCCTCGTGCCAAGTGAGAAGGGACCACTGGGGGCTCCCCAAAACCACCCTCAGGTTCAATGGTTCACTGTAAGGACTCACAGAACTCAGAAAGGGTACCATTTATTACAGCAATGGATGCGTTAAAATCAGCAGTGGCAAGGACTCACGGAACAGAACCCAAGAGAGACCAGCACAGGTCTGCAGGTGTCCGCACCCACTGCAGGCATGCGGACAGTGCTCAATCTCCCAGCACGGATGAGCACAGCATGCCACCAGCCAGGGAAGCCCTCTGTACCGCGGTGTCCAGGGTTTTTATTGGGTTGGTCACACAGGTATGGCTGACCTCCCAAGTCGCAGACTTTGGCCTCCAGCCCCTGCAGAGGTCAGGCTGATGCCACATGGCCCAAAGTCCCCCCGTAGACCACGTTGTTAGCACAGACTAGGGGTGTCCAATCTTTGGACCTTCCTGGCACACATTGGAAGAATTGTCCTGGGCAACACACTTAAATAAAATACACTTAACACTAACAACAGCTGATGAGCTTTAAAAAAAAATCTCAACAAGAAAGTTTACAAATTTGTGTTGGGGCCGGGCGCGGTGGCTCAAGCCTGTAATCCCAGCACTTTGGGAGGCCGAGACGGGTGGATCACGAGGTCAGGAGATCGAGACCATCCTGGCTAACACGGTGAAACCCCATCTCTACTAAAAATATACAAAAAACTAGCCGGGCGAGGTGGCGGGCGCCTGTAGTCCCAGCTACTCAGGAGGCTGAGGCAGGAGAATGGCGTAAACCCGGGAGGTGGAGCTTGCAGTGAGCTGAGATCCGGCCACTGCACCCCAGCCTGGGCGACAGAGCAAGACTCCGTCTCAAAAAAAAAAAAAAAAAAATTGTGTTGGGCCGAATGCACCCTCTGGGCTGCGGATTGGACAAGCTTAGCATAGACTATGGTGTGGCCTAGGTAAACACAGACATTCAAATCAGGCGGAACATTCCAAAGGCTTAGAGGGTGTCTCTCAGGAGCTGGTCAGGGCCAGTTTCAGGGTGGAGAATTTGAACACCCCAAACCTTTACTGCAGAAGGCCTCAGCAGGATCATCTGGCCTTGGTGGAAGCCACACTCAGGGGACCTGGTGACCAAGGCTGGTCAGGAAAGAGCGACCACAGGGGACGCAGCAGGGCCAGATGCAAATCTGCCAAAGAAAGAAAGAGGCGTCCCAAAGGGACAGCACACGGAGGCGCGCGGAAGGGAGGAGCGGAGTTCCAATTTGGGCTCCAGAGAGAGAAGGTAAAGGATGAGGACCCGCCCTGAGAGAGGGAGAAGGCCACGGGAAGGCTGTGGCAGCTGCGGGCTGAAGGGGGTTTTAGGTGAGAATCGGGGACAGCCCCGGTGGTCAGCGTGGCTGGAGGGTGTGCTCAGAGCGGCCTCCGGAGGGAGCGGCCTTGTGAGCCAGGTGGGCTCCCCCATCATGGTTCCACTGTCCCGAGCCAACCGCGGAAAGGAGGGGCGCGTTTGAGGAGAAAAGAGAAAATCGCCATCCTGGAAGGTGAGAAGATGGGTTTGTGGGCGGGAGGAGGCACCGGCGGGCGGGCCACGGAGAGATTTGTGGCCCCCAATGAAAGTCAGCCTGGGTCAGCCTGCTGGTGGGCCTTTCCCCCCGCCCTCGGTGTCCCACCCACCTGTCCCAAGGGGGTCGGCCGGGGAATGAGTGCGTGGCCGGGAGAGCGGGGCCCCGCTTTCGAGCCCGCGGGGACTCCTGCAGCTGGAGGGTGTCGTGGGCTTGGGGGACCCCAGATGCCCCGGGTCTTCCCCCAGATCCTAGGAGAGCAACCGCGAGAGAAGTGGGCTGCTCCAGGCTCCGGGTGGCCGCGGGGCGGGGCCTCCACGGGGGCGGGGATTTGGGGGCGGTTCCCCTGCGCGGGGCGGGACTTCGAGGAGGCGAGGCGGGGCCTGGGGCGGGGCCTCGCGAAGGACCTTGGGAATGGGCGGGGGCGGGGACCAAAACGGGGCGGGGCTTCGCGGAGGTGGGGCGGGGCTTCGCGGAGGAGGCTTGGGGGACGAGGAGGGGACAGGGCCTGGGGCGGGGCTTCGCGGGGCGGGGCCTCCGAAGGGGCGGGGCCTGGGCGCGGCCGGGGTTCGGCAGCTGGCTGGGAAGCGGTGCTCTGGCTCGGGCTGGCACACGCGGCTCGGGAGCGGCGCGCCGGCTCCGCCTCCGGCCCCCATCTGCCCGCCGCGCGCCCGCCCCTCCCAATTCCCAGAGCCGGGGCTGGGGCTTGCGGCGGCGGCGGCGGCGGCGGATCTAGGCTGGGCTGCTGGGCGCGGGGCCAGGGCGGGCCGGGAGAGGCTGCTCCGGCGGTGGATCGCGCGGAGGGCGGTGGCCTGGGCCGGCCGAACCATGGCGGCCCCTGAACCGGCGCCGAGGCTGGCCCGGGAGCGGGAGCGGGAGGACGAGAGCGAGGACGAGAGCGACATCCTGGAGGAGAGCCCGTGTGGTCGCTGGCAAAAGCGGCGGGAGGAGGTGGGCGCGGGGGTCGCGGGCACTGGGGTGACACCGCCCTCCCAGAGCCGGAGGGGCCTGGAGGCTGCGCGGGGCGTGGGGGCGCTGGGAGAGCGCGGCGCGCGGCGCCTGGAAACCTCTCCACGGTCCCTCGCGGCCAGCGAATCAGCCACCCCTGGACCCCTTTGGCCTGGCGCCCGCCCTGGGATTCCCTGAGGGCCAGTCTCCTCCTAGGACCACCTCCCCATGCCTCTGGACTCAGCCGCTAGGTTCCTGGGGATCCCCCTCGACCCCTTGAAACCTGCTCCAAATCCCCTTAGCCCAGCCCTTGGATAGGAGCCCTTGGCTCCTAGGGGCAGCTACCCTCCAAGCCCCCACCTTCCCGCAGAGTGGCTCAGGTCCTACAGTCCACGCTTGGGCCCACTGGAAAGGTATAGACAGGGACCAAATCCTCACCCGCAACCTGACACACACCAGGGCACACATAACCCCTTATTCACTCCCCAGGTAAACCAGGGGAACATGCCAGGGCTTCAAAGCACCTTCCTAGCCATGGACACGGAGGAGGGGGTAGAGGTGGTGTGGAACGAGCTCCACTTCAGAGACAGAAAGGCCTTCGCGGCGCACGAGGTGAGGCCACTGCCCCCTCCTCATCCTGCCTGGGTGACCACCTGCTGACCACCTAGAGACCACCCTCCCTCCCCAGGAGAAGATCCAGACTGTGTTTGAGCAGCTGGTGCTGGTGGACCACCCCAACATCGTGAAGTTGCACAAGTATTGGCTGGATACCTCCGAGGCCTGCGCGAGGGTGATTATGGGCGAGGCCCCGGGCAGGCAGAGGCCACAGCCAGGTGGGGTGGGCATGGGGACGAACGCGCAGCTGGTGGAAATCCTGAGCTCGCACCCTGCAGGTCATCTTCATCACAGAGTACGTGTCATCAGGCAGCCTCAAGCAATTCCTCAAAAAAACCAAGAAGAACCACAAGGCCATGAACGCCCGGGTATGGGGAGCGGGCTGGGGCAGCCACGGGGACAGGACGGGGTTGGGGCAGCCTCGGGGACTGGGATGGTGAGGGGGTGCCCAGTGGCCTCGGACAGGGACTGGGCGAGGATGCGGGGCGGGCTCCGCAGGCCCAGCCGCCTCTCCTGCGCCCACCCGACGGAGTCGTGCGTCCGCCGCCAGGCCTGGAAGCGCTGGTGCACGCAGATCCTGTCCGCGCTCAGGTGAGGGCCTGGGCTGGCCCGGGCGCTGCGCTGCTGAGCCCCCGCCTCCTCAGAGCCTCCTGACCGGCTCCTCCTACTCTCCCCTCCCCAACGTCTGCAGCTTCCTGCACGCCTGCAGCCCCCCGATCATTCACGGGAACCTGACCAGCGACACCATCTTCATTCAGCACAATGGCCTCATCAAGATCGGCTCTGGTGCTGGCGGGACAGGGCTGGGCGGGGGACGGGGCAGGGGAAGGTGCCTGCAGCCAAGGGCAGAGGAGTTCTGATGCTCCAGCAGCTAACTCCGCTCTTTCTCCCGCCCCTTGGCAGTGTGGCACCGAATCTTCTCCAATGGTAAGTGCGGACTCTGGGGGATGGGGTCCTGGAGAGGTCCCGCCCGCTCAGCCTTTGCGCCCTCCACAGCGCTGCCGCATGATCTCCGAAGCCCCATCCGCGCTGAGCGAGAGGAACTTCGGAACCTGCACTTCTTCCCCCCAGAGTACGGCGGTGAGTGGCGCTGGGTCTTGGCGCCCCGTGCCTGCCCTGTGTGCTTCTCTCCTACCCGTCCTGTGTTCTCTCCTGTTCAGAGGTGGCCGATGGGACCGCTGTGGACATCTTCTCCTTTGGGATGTGTGCGCTGGAGGTACTGCCCCCGCCCTCCACCTTGTGCTCTGCCCTCCTCCTAGCTGTGCCCTGCCTGGCTCACCTGTGTGGTCCCTTCCCCATGCCTGACCTGGCTCTGTGCCCCAGATGGCTGTGCTGGAGATCCAGGCCAACGGGGACACCCGGGTCACAGAGGAGGCCATTGCTCGTGCCAGGCACTCACTGAGTGACCCCAACATGCGGGTAAGCAGCTTGCCCTGCCCCTCCCCAGCTGGCTCACTGTGCTCAGCTAGGCCAGCAAGGTGCTCCAGGCAGGCCTGGGAGAGCATCACAGTTTATGTAGCTGAGAGGTATATCAGCTGGCTGCACCCCCGCAAAGAGGACCTCAGTGGGAGCACATACTGGTTCCAGGCCTGAAGGCCCTAATGGGTCAGCACATTCTAAGGACAAGAAGGCAAGAGAGACCCTCCCTCTGTGGCTGCTATCACCATGCCCGTTTTATAGATAAAGAAACTGAGGCTCAGAGGAGATGAGTCCTTTGCCTGAGGCTTTAGAGTAAGTGGTGGAGCCAACATCTGCACCTGGGTCTGCTTCACTCCAAGTCCTTGACTTTAAGCTTCTAGGAGGTGATGAGGCTCCAGCTTGTGGGGGGACATGGTGGGTGCCAAGCAGGCAAAAAGAGGTATGGGATGGAAGCTGCATCCATAGCCCCCTCTGCTCGGAATCCAGACTTAACTCCATGGCCTCAGGAGATGGGGGTGCCTGGATGGGGCTGGTAGGGAGGTGGAGCCGGGCTGGGCACGGATGTGGATAGAGTGGGGAACCAGCAAGGTCATCTCCAGTGCTGGGCCTGAGCTGAGCCGATCAAATGACCATGGGTAGCTAGAGGCAGAGCTTGCAGTGAGCCGAGATCGTGCCACTGCACTCCAGCCTGGGCGACAGAGTGAGATTCCGTCTCAAAAAAAAAAAAAAAAAAAAGGACCACAGCTTGCAGGTGTGACTTAAAGATCATGGCTCCTACTCCCCATGATTTTTGGGAGGTTGAGGGAAGCAGAGCATGGTGCTCCAATCCCAGAACCCAGCTGTCCTCAAGCCCAGAGGGCCAGGTCCTGGCCTGGCTGCTGCCAGGACTCCTCCCTACGGGCATCCCTGCATGTCCTGTATGTCCCTGAGGAGGAGGGACGAGGAGAACTCAGGGACCACCTCTCCTCGAACTGTGGGGCCAGAGCAGAGAGCTCTGCACACCACCAGCCTCTCCTCCCCATGCCCCAGGAGTTCATCCTTTGCTGCCTGGCCCGGGACCCTGCCCGCCGGCCCTCTGCCCACAGCCTCCTCTTCCACCGCGTGCTCTTCGAGGTGCACTCGCTGAAGCTCCTAGCAGCCCACTGCTTTATCCAGCACCAGTGTGAGCAGCAGGCCAGCCCAGGGGGTGACCGGGGAGGCTGCGGCTGGGATGTGGAAGGGGCCCTGCAGGACCCACGGCCTTGATGCTCCTGTGGCTGCAGACCTCATGCCTGAGAACGTAGTGGAGGAGAAGACCAAGGCGGTGGACCTGCACGCAGTCTTGGCGGAGCTTCCCCGGCCCCGCAGGCCCCCGCTGCAGTGGCGGTGAGCAGTCAGCACCCAGAAACCTCCCCTCCCCGTGCCTCCCCTCCCTACGCCCCTGACCAGCCCCTCATGTGCCTCCCACCCCCATGCCAGGTACTCGGAAGTCTCCTTCATGGAGCTGGACAAATTCCTGGAGGATGTCAGGTAAGAACTGATGTAAGGTTGGGGGCCAGGCAGCTGTCAGGCCTGAGCCCCCAGCCACCCCGGTGTGTCTCCAGGAATGGGATCTACCCACTGATGAACTTTGCAGCCACTCGGCCCCTGGGGCTGCCCCGGGTGCTAGCCCCACCCCTGGAGGAGGTCCAAAAGGCCAAGACCCCGACGCCAGAGCCCTTTGACTCTGAGACTAGGAAGGTGAGTCCCCTCTTGCTGCTCAGTGCCATCCCTCAGACCTTCCAGCAGCCTGATAAGAGATTCCTTCTCCCAGGGCCTGCTCCCCACAGCCCAGCTCTCCTCCTGGCTGCCAGAGACCAGATCCAGGCTGACCCCCTTGTGGGGATTATGGGGGTTGTAGGACAGGCTGGACACTCTCCTTTTCCGGGAGGCTCCCTGTCCCCTCAGATCCTCCCCTGCATCCTGCTGCCTGCCCTGAACCTACTCCAAGCATCCTTCCTCCAGAACTCGCCCAGGCTCTTCCACCCCGCCAGTACTCTTCCCCCCACCCCCCACCCTCCCATCCCCCACCCTCCCATCCCCCACCTCGTGCTGATTCCCGGATATCTATGTCCTGGTGTCTCCCCAGACTTTTCCTGCAGCGCTGCCTCCTGGCCAGTGGCCTCTCTTGGTGCAGTGCAGCCAGAATTTATGTCCTAACAGGCAAACTGCCTGCTCCTGGCTGCCCGCAGAGATCATGGGAGTCCTCAGCTGATGCCCAGGCGCTGGGAGGCCTGGTCCTGCAGGCACCCTGCACTTCGGTGCAGTCGCATCCCACTCAACCTCCCTTTCCCCGTGCTCAAGTTCCCTCTTTGTTTAAGTTGTTCTCTCAGCAGTGAAAGCTCCTATTCAGCCTTCAGTACCCAGCACCTAATGTCGACTCTTCTCGAAGCTTTCCTTAGCTCACTAGGCCACTAGCAGTGAGATGGGCTCCTCTTAGAGATTCCCCCCTTTCCAATCTCTGCTGTCCCTTCCTGGCCCCTCTGGGGCCGCGGCATGTGGTCTCGCTGCTGGGTCTGTGAGTCTCAGCCTTCCGCCGCTGCAGGTCATCCAGATGCAGTGCAACCTGGAGAGAAGCGAGGACAAGGCGCGCTGGCATGTGAGCGGGGCCTGGGAGGGCAGCGCTGCTGTGGGGAAGGCGGGAGCGTGGCAGACCCCCAAACCTCCAGCCGACCACGCCCCGCCGCCTCCCCAGCTCACTTTGCTTCTGGTGCTGGAGGACCGGCTGCACCGGCAGCTGACCTACGACCTGCTCCCAAGTAGGCTGGGCAAGGGACCTGGGCGGTGGGCGGTGACCCCGGGCAGCGGGTGGCGCAGCGGCCTCATGCCTCGCCTTACACCGTTGCCGCAGCGGACAGCCCTCAGGACCTCGCCTCGGAGCTTGTGCACTACGGCTTCCTCCATGAGGTGCGCTGGGCGTTGCAGCGTGGCCTGGCGGAGGGGGCAAGCGGGGCAGGCTGTGCCCCTCCGTTCCCCATGCCTTCCTCCTTCCGCAGGACGACCGGATGAAGCTGGCCGCCTTCCTGGAGAGCACCTTCCTGAAGTACCGTGGGGCCCAGGCCTGACCCAGTACCCCAGCCCCTGGGGACCATGCCGGGGTGCTGCCCAGGCAGGCCATGTGGGGGAGACCCCAGCACCGCGGGGCTGCTCTCCTCCGTGTGCCTGGGAGCACAAAGGCCCTGGTAGTGAAGAAACCCCCGCCTCCTGAGAGTGGGGCAGACCCTGCCTCGGGCGCCGCGGGGGTGGGGGGTGGGTGTGGGGGAGCCGTTAGGCCTCCCAGGTCCTTAGGTTCAGGGTTGCCCTCAGGACCCCTTCCCATATCCTCCATTCTCCACCCTGAGTTCCTACCCAGGCTGCCTGGCCAGGGCCACTGCCTGCTCAGCATGCAGGAGGCTGCCCTGCAGGGAGCCCCAGCTCTGGGGCTTGGGGGTGAGGGTCAGCCCTGGACAGACCTCTGCCCAGGGAACTGCTCCATGGGGTCTGGGAGAGCAGCCATCCCCGGCTGGCACCATAGACCCACACAAGGAGCCTGCACAGCAAGCCAGCAGTGACACACCTGCAGGTGTCACGCATGGCACTGGGCACAACAGGGACCTGGCAGGAGAAACAGACCACAGAGAGGTCTGGAGTTGAGGCTGTCATCAGCAAAGCCCCTGGTCCCACACAGCTCTGCCCTGGAGCCACCTCTTTGACCCTTTACCCACCCCGAGACCAGAACCTGCAGCCCCTCTACAGATCTCCTCTGGCCACTGCAGCCCCTCTACAGATCTCCTCTGGCCACTGCAGCCCCTCTACAGATCTCCTCTGGCCACTGCAGCCCCCCTACAGATCTCCTCTCACTGCAGCCCCTCTACAGATCTCCTCTGGCCACTGCAGCCCCCCTACAGATCTCCTCTGGCCACTGCAGCCCCTCTACAGATCTCCTCTGGCCACTGCAGCCCCTCCAACGGGCTTTTTCTCTCCTGCATTCCCTGGCCTGGAGGGGTCAGGGCCCCCACATCCTCTCTGCTCCTCAGATTCACACCCCCTCCATGTTACCTCCCGCACCTCCTCCCTGGGGCAGCTGCTCCCTGGGCCTCTGAGGATGTCAGCTCCTGGCTCCCTGCCTCTCTCCCACTGCATTCCTGGCTCAGTCTTAGAGGTTTCTATGCCCCCATAGATTCTACCCCTGCCTTCCTGGCCTCTTGATTCTTGGCTTGCCTCTCCTCCAATTCCAAACTTAGTGAAATGGCCTTAAACATTTTAAATTGTATGTATAAATTTAGCACAATCATGCCTTTTTAAAAGCATTTCAAATGTCAAACCAGGAAGGCACACCACTGTATTAGTTCTATACTGCTGCTGTAAAATTTACCACAAACTTAGTGGCTTAGAACAACACAAATGTATTGCAATTCTGTAGGCTGGAAGTCTGACTACAGGTCTCACTGGACTAGAATCAAGGCTGGCAGGCTGCCTTCCTTCCTGGAGGTTCTAGGGGAGACTCTGTCTCCTGCTTCTTCAGGCTGCTGGCAGAATCCACATCCTTTCAGTGGCAGGGCCAAGGTCCCTACTTTCTTGCTGGCTGTAAACTAAGGCCACTTCCAGCTTGTAGAGGCTGCCTACATTCCTTGGCTCTTGGCCTCCTCCTCCATCTTCAAAGCTAGCAGTTTCAGTCTGTATCACGAAACATTTCTCTGGTTCTCTGCAGACAGGAAAGGTTGTCCCTAAGGACTCATGAGATTAGGTTGGGCCCAGCCAGATAATACAGGATAATCTCCCTCCTCAAGGTTTTTAATATTAAACACATCTGCAGGACACATTTTGCCATGTAAACTAACATTCACTGGTTCCAGGGATTAAGGAAGGAAACTCTTTTGTTGGGGAAGGGTGGCATTCTGCTGACCACAGCACCCCAACCAAAAGCCAAAAACCAAAGCAAGACTTACTAACGCATATCAAATAAATTAAATGTGCAAAATAGTGAATCTCAGTTATCTTAAATATTCCAATACTATTTACAAAATTATTCTAATTCTCACACCTTCCAACTCAAAATTAGTAATCTAAAATAATCTCCATATCCTAGATGGAAACCCTCATGTGAAACTGTCTGATTACGCACGGTCCTAAATGGTTTCAGTGGTAAACACATAACATTGTACTACTGATTAAACTGAACTTAAAAGCATCAATACTACCATTGCTGCACTTAATCATGTCTCTGTTGAATTCTTCCTTTTATCTTTTCAGAATTTTATGTGTATTGTTTTTAAAGTAGAATGGGTTTTTTTTTTTTCTTTTTGAGGCCAATGATAAATAATAAAGGCAGGCTCCTACTCTCATCCTCTCCAAATTCAACTCTCTTAACTGTTTCTTCAGGCATTTTGAAATCCATGTTTTTCAAAATCATGAGCTTTTAGTTCTGTTTATTAGTTGTTTCACATTAGGTGTCCCCAGCCAGCATCCTCTGGGAGGAGGGTGGTCACCCGCCTCAGTCTCCTGATGCGGCATCGTTCTAGTGTGACGGGCATCACAGCTGCAGGGTGTTATTACAGCTTCATTACCACGCGTCACAGGAGAACAGGGTGTTCTAGGATGGCATTTCTTGCACAACTTTTTGTTTTCCCTGGAGTTAATAATTGCCTATTTTTTGTTTGCCTGGTTTTCTATATGTGTTTGTCATCGATTCATCTTTAGACTTTCCTGCAAAAGCATGAGCATCCTCTCACAGCTTAGGACTCATCACATAACTGACTGCTCAGTTTCTTCTTTTCCTGGAGCCCCCACTATGCAAAGCCCCCTGCCCAGGCTACTTGTTCTTGGACTTATGGTCCAGTTGTCAGCATGGGTTAACTCTTCACCAGTGTCCTGGAATGCTTTCCTTTTCCTTCATTTGCTCTGTTTGAGAAGTACCATCCTCCAAGTTTCCTGAGAGGGTGCATAGGAAGTTGCGGAGTCTTTACCTGTTTGTCTTTATGCTAACCTCACATATGCTTGACGGTGTGACTAGTTACAAAAAGCTTGGCTTGGTTGAAAATCATTTATTCCCAGGATTTTGAGGGTGTCGTGTCATTTTCTTCTAGTTCTGAGAACTCTTGTGCCTTTCTGAATTCTGACTCTTTACCTATGATCTCTTCTGTTTTATTCTTTGCCCCATTACTTCGGCAATTTTCAATGATGTGTCTTGATATACAACTTGCCTTTCACCCATTGTTCAGGAAACATGACTGTTTGGTTCTAGGAAATTTTCGTGATTTATCTCTTTGTTGATTTCTCTCATTTCCTTATTTTCTGGACAATTTATTTAGATGTTGGGTTTCTGTTTTTTGGGTTTTTATTTTTTGTTTTTGTTTTTTGAGACAGGATTTGGCTCCGTCACCCAGGCTGGAGGGCAGTGGTATGATCACAGGGCACTGCAACCTCCACCTTCTGGGCTCCAGCAATGCTCCCACCTTAGCCTCCCTACTAGCTAGGACTACAGGCCTGTGCCACCATGCCCAGCTGGTTTTTTAAAATTATTTTTTGTAGAGATGTGGCCTCGCTATATTGCCCAAGCTGGTCTTGAACCCCTGGGTCCAAGTGATCCTCCTGCCTCAGCCTCCTGAAGTGCTGGAAAGGCAGGTATGAGCCACTGTGCCTGACCTGGACTTCTCTTTTGAGATGCAGTCATGGTGGTGGAAACAACACAGGCTCTGGAGCCATTCTACTGCTCCCTGCCTTGTGATGTTGCCCATCAGTAAAAATGGGGATAACAGCTGTACCCATTGCATAGCACTGGGTTGTGAGGATCCCATGAGTGAACGTGTGTAAGAACAGTGCTGGGCACCATGCACCCTGCGTGCACGTTATTGTCAAGGGAAGCTGTTCCCAGAGGGTGGTGCCTGTGGCTTCCCCTGGTGGTGGTGGTGGACCAGCCCCCCACCACCCATCCACCCCCTCCATTGTGGAGGCCTTGTGTGCCAGGCTGGCCCTAAGGGCACCCACCTGTGTTACTGCTATTCTGTTTTCCAGCTATCTGGTTCTGTCATTATACATTCTGGAAGACTTCATCCTAAAAAGCCTATTGAATTGCTCTTTCCCCTCATGTTTTATTTCTAAGAGCTCGTTCTCATCCTGAGTGTTCTTTCTCTATAGCCCCCCGTTCCTTTTTATTGCCTGTAATACCTCTAATATCTCTGAGAATGCCATTTTAGTTTTCATTTTTCTTTGGCTTCCTTTATTGTCTCTGTTTCTTCTGAGTCCCTTTGCTTCTTTCTCAGGTGTCTGATGATCCTGGGCTGTCCAGTTGCTTTTAAGAATGAGATGCTTTTAGTGGCTGGGGCTTATGGCCTGGTGAGCTTCGAGGCCAGGGATCTGGCTGGGCCATTCTACTGGGCAACCCTCTGCCCCTAGCTGCCCTGCCAGTCTTTTCTTTTGAGCTGGGAGCTGCAGCAGAAAAGAGCCCTCCTCTCTGAGGAGGCTGATGGCATGTCGGTGGTCAGACCCAGCCCAGGGGGTGGAGGTAAGGCAAGGACCCAGAGTCTCACTTATTCCCAGGCTTTCAGACAGAGCCTTGCTTGAGCAGGGCCTCAGAGCTCCTCTCCCAGAGTTCACGTCTCAGCCACTGCACTGCCTGCCAGCCCCGGTGGGTATGGACAGAGGTCTGGGGTTTCCTTTCTGTAGCTGTGCTTTCACCCACGACCCTCAGACACCGGCCTCCATGGCCGCGTGGGCTGGAGTAGCTCTCACTGTCCATCTTCCTCCAGCTCTACAATATCCCAGCTCTTTGCCCTTGCAGGGTTTGTCTTTATAAAACCCCTTTCGTATAATTTCAGAGGGTTTCAGGAGGAAGGCGGGGGAATATGCTGCCCTATTTAAGTAGAGGTGTCTGTATTAAATTCTAAACGTTCCCAGGGTTGAAAGGAGGCCTGCCCGGGATGCCTTGTGGCCTCAGGCACTGAAGGTGCCTGAGCTTACAGATGTGGCTTCTTCAGATGACCAAGTTGGGGTCTCGGGACTGGGTGCAGCAGATGGCAAATGTCCAGGACGGGCAGCTTTCCCAGCAGTACTGATAAACACTTTGGGTCATGAAAGACAGTTCAGGTACTAAGGGGGCCTGTAGCCTGCGGGCCTAGTGACTGATGTCAGCCAACCTACGGTCCTCTGTTCCCTGGAAGGAGAAAAGGCTGCCAATTGAACGAGGTTTCCCGGCCCCAAGGATGTCACGACGCGGGGACGAAGCATCTCACGACGTGAGCCTGAAACACACGGGCCTTTCATCACCCGAGACTCCTCCAGTCCAGGAGGGTCCCGCTCTTTCCCCTGCCTCGCGGAGGAGAGCCTCTGGACGACGCCCGCGACGGCGTTTTCTCCAAAAAAGGCAGAGAAGAGAAGCTCAGTAGTGGCCGCAAGGGCGAGGGGAGGCGAGGGCCACCACGCGCTCCCGCGTCGGCCACGCGGCGAGAAAAGCCCGGCTCGTGTACCGCGGCGCGCGCCCCTGGACGCCCATGTTGCACGGACCCCTCCCCTCGCCCGGCCAAGGGCACACCCCTTCCGTCGCCCCTCCCGCGGGCGTTAACCGTCCCTCCCCGCCCCGGAAGCGCGTTCTTACCTCCTTCCTCGCGAGAGTACCGTGCGCCGGCGCCCAGATCGCGCGAGACCGCGGAAGGAGCAAGAGTGGGTGGTGCGCGCGGCGGCCGCGACGGACGCAAGATGGCGACGGCGACCATAGCTCTCGTAAGTGAGCCCCCAGTGACGCGGGCGGCCCTCAGCTTGCGGGGCCGGGTCGTCGGCCCAGCCTGGGCGCGGAGGGCCTCCCAAGAACGCGGCGGTCTTCCCAGGTCCCGCGCGGAGTCCCTTGTGTTCCCGGGTCGCGTGAGGCGGGGGCGGGGCGGGTGCGCGCGGGCGGCCGGCTCGCGGCCTCAGCTTCCGGTCTGCGGACCCCAGCTTCCGGCGGGGCGGGGCGGCGCGGGGGCCCGGGCGCTGCATGTGGCCCGGGCGGGCGAGCCTAGTGGGGTCGCGTTCCTACCCGCTAGGTCCGGCAGGCGGGGGTCGTCGTCCTCCCTTTGCCGACGGGGATGTGCGCCGTGGTCACGACGGAAGCGGGTTCCTGGGGATGATGCGTGGGCCTTCGGGTTGATAGGATCAGAAGGGGACGGGATCTGTAGAAAGGGGTCTGCAGCTCAGAGCATGGGGTGGCCTTGGCTCATTACGCCTGCAGCTGTGAATTCGTTCTCCGGTGCTGTAGAGTGATATGGTTATCTCTGTTCTCTTGTCTCCACTTGGGAAAGAAGGACGTGCTTTCTCATCCTACGGTTTTTGAGAAATCGCTCTGTGGGAGGATTTGGGGACACAATGGGGAACCAGACAGGCGGTCGGAGGTCTGGTGCCCACCAGAAGTAAGTTCCCACCCAGGGTACCATTTGCTGGGCTCCCGAGGGAACTGCGTGGGCATCCAGAAGAGTGAGTCGCCCCCTGCTCTGCTCAGTGCCCACCTCCCCGGGCAGGGCAGGCGTTATTAACGTAGGGGGAGAACATCCATGCACACAACACATGCGCGATGAAGTCTGGTCTTTCTTCCTCACCACTTAGCTTATAGGACTTAATCCCGTTTTGGACCTTTCTTAGCCACAGTTTACCCATTTATTACTTGCCACTCTCCCCCCAGCCCACATCCAGCGGGATGGGATAAGGTCTGTTTGAGAAGACAACTTGAGCAAGTGGCTGAAGGCTGGACTGACAGGACCAGGGAGTGTCCTTAGACTGCCATTTCCAGGCCCCATACTAGGGGGAGAGAGGCATTTGCACAAGATACCTAGCTTGTGAGGGCAGCCCAGTGTGTGATTCACAGGGCTGGCTAACTCCACTTTTTCTATCATGTGTTTTCTCTTGAAGCCACAGGAGTAAGTGATCTTTGAGGGGCACTCCAGAGGGAAAGGAAATAAGGGTTAAGAACCTGGTGACTGTCTCCAGGAAGCAGAGAGTTGATGGTGAAGGAGGAGGAGGCTCAGAGACAAGTACTGGACACCTGGGAAGGTGGAGGAGGAGAATGGATGCCTCACTCCCCAAGCATCCGCAGAACAGCGCCCTGTGCTCATGAGGGTTAAATGGGGGCTCAGGTCTGCTGTGGCATGGTGCCAGATAGTTGGTGTCATTGTTGAGTTGGACGTGGGTCATAACTGACGCCATGAACAGGTTCTCAGTTGGGGTGTTTGTTGCCATCCAAATTCTGTTGGGGTTAATACATGCTTTTTCATTGCATCAGGCTCCAGGAATGAGCTGTAGCCTGTGGTCTAACCCATTCCTCTTTTCATCACTGGGATGGAAAGGCTTCTAGAAGGGTTATCTGTTCCCCACCATCCTGGTTGGGCACAGTGATGAGAGCCTGCCCTCTGTCTCATGCTGTTTCGGCTCTTATGGGAGGTTGAATGGAGCGGCTGAACTTAGTAGACAGCGGCCTGGTGGAGAAGGAGGCCAGAAGATGCCGCAGGGCTTCCCTCCCATGGGCACGCCTTCTGCCTGGTGGCTGCAGAATGAGGCCGGTGCCTCTTCGCAGCAAGGGTAGGTCTTCTGGGTGCATCTTTCCACTTTGGCACGTGGCTCCATTATTCACTTCTCTGACAGCCCAAACGGCTTTCCTTTGGGGTCATCGCCCTTGGGGTTCCAGTTGCTTTCTTCTGTAGGTCCCAGCCTGCAATGTCACCTCGTAGGCCCCCTGGATGCCGTGGCCTGGCACATCGCACAGCCACTTCTTTCTTATCCCGGGCTTTCTTAGCTTTCTTCGTGCACACGGAAGTCGTCTTTGGTTTCGGCGTTCTTTGCTGGCAGCTGACGCCAGGCTCCTGAGAGAGACATCCTTCTCTCTCGTCTGGTTTCTGCGGCCTCTGCAGTGCTCAGTGTGGAGCCTGGACACGCAGTAAGCAGCGTTCATTGTGTGAAGGGAACTGACAGATAGAAAGCAGTGTCCTGCAGCCAGCTCTGCCCTGGGTATCTGACGCTAGATGTTAACAATACTGACGATTGCTGGAACCTGTGGCTTGCTTTGCTGCTTTTCATGTGCAGGGACTGCAGGTTGTGGGGTTAGGCGGAGGGGTGGGGGGTGCCGGGATTTCACTAAATCTTCACAGTAGCCCTAGGAGACAGGCTGTCCCCCTTCCCAGCTGAGGAGCCTGAAGCCTAGGGACCTTCGGTCATTTGCTGCACATTACTTTTTGAGACGGAGTTTCGCTTTATCGCCCAGGCTGGAGTGCAGTGGGTGATCCCGGCTCACTGCAACCTCCACCTCCTGGGTTCAGGCAATTCATGGTAGCACCTCAGCCTCCCCAGTAGCTGGGATTACAGGTGCCCGCCACCACGCCCAGCTAATTTTTGTATTTTTAGTAGAGATAGGGTTTCACCACGTTGGCCAGGCTGGTCTTCAACTCCTGACCTCAAGCAATCCATCTGCCTTGGCCTCCCAAAGTGTTGGGATTACAGGCGTGAGCCACTGTATCTGGACACATTACTTAAAAAAAAATTTTTTTTCATAGAGATGGCATCTTGCTATGTTACCCAGGCTGGTCTCAAGTGATCCTCCTACGTCGGTCTTCAAAGTGCTGGAGTTACAGGTGTGAGCCACCACGTCCAGCCCCTACATTGCTCTTCTTGTTTTCTGATGGAAATACTCCTCGTTGCTCTGGGCTGAGGAAAGGCGGTCCCAGAGTTGGCACCTCAGAGCCCCTCTGCTGCACTGCCCCTCCAAGGGGCTTCCCATTCCTCCGAGCACTGCTGCCTGGTGCTGGGGGCCATCCTGACCATAAAGCCGCCATTTTCATTGCCTAAAGATGGCAGTATGTGACTAGCTGCGATTATAAACACCACTTTCCTCCAACCTCTCCCAGCGTCTGGTTAGCACAGAGCCCTAAACTCCATGCAGCTAGGAACTTCCATCTGCCAGGAATGGCGTGGGCTGTGCTGTGTAGAATGTGCCAGTGGGCCAGCTCTTCCCAAGAAAAAGTTTTTCTGAGCCACATCCCACTGTCAGCACTGTTGTGGTTCACTTGTTGGTTAGTGCAGTGATTTGGGGGAGCAGGAAGTTACGAAAGTGCCCCTCAGTTCACCCTGTTCACGGGTATCTGGAGATGACCTGAAGTGATCTCTTCCTGTGGGAGTGAGAGGCAGCCTTGGCTGGCACAGTGGACCACGCCTGTAGTGCCAGCACTTTGGAGGTTGAGATAGGTGGATTGTTTGAGACCAGCTTGGGCAACATGGAGACCCCCATCTCTACCAAAAATACAAAAATTAGCTGCGTGTGGTGGCACATGCCTGTAGTCACAGGAGGTGGAGGTTGCAGTGAGCTGTGGTTGCACCACCGCACTCCAGCCTGGGCAACAGAGCCAGACCCTGTCTCAAAAAAAAGAAGAGGCAACCTCTTCTCTGGCTGTGCATGCAGTGGGAGGGGCCATTGTTTCCGGGGTACGGTGTCTAGGCAGCGTGGGGCTGAGTTGGGCAGCTAGAGCATACCGGTGCCGGCAGCATCGGGATTAGCTCCCGGCACGGGCTGGGTTGGCCTTCCCCAGTGCAGCTGGGCTTGTGCTGCTGCCCCTCCTCTGGAGGCTGGAGGACCTGGGACGCTCTGGTGGGTCAGCCCAGCCTCTGACTTTGCGCACATGGCTCCAAGGGTGGGCACACTGATCTCTTCTGTCCTTAGATACTGTGGGTCTCATCCTTGAGCTGGGAGCGGGTTGACTGCATGCTGCCTTGGTTCTTGTTGTGCATCCTCTGAGAAGGTAGAGTAGGTCTCAAGACCCTTCCACCATCTCCTGACCCCCACAACGTTACCCGTCTCCTGCCCGTGGCCTGCCTTTGCCCTGCCATCCCTCAAGACCATTGTGGAGCTGCTACTCCCTTCTGTGCCCCTCTAGGTGTGGGTTTTTCCCAGCACAGAGGCCAAGCTCTTGGCCGTCCTCCTGGGAGACTGCTCTGGACGGTTCTGTTGCCAGGGAAGGGAGGCCTGCGTGTCCAGACCCCTGCCCACCATGCTGCTTAAAAGTGTCTTCAGGAGAGAACTGGGACCTGGGCTTGGCCAGAGCCTGTGGAAGGCGCTGGGGCTGGGGCTGAGTTGTGGGCTGGCCAAGGTGTGTACGGGTTGCCAGGAAGGCACCCTTGCTGCCTCAGGAGGACATGGGGGACACCCAGCCAGTTCCTTTGACCATCCAGCCTGCTGGCAGGAGAGGATGGCTTTCTTTGCCTGGGGCAGGAGCACAGTGCTCTCTATCCTCCTCCCTGCCCCTGCTTGGACTTGCTGGCAGCCCCGGCCCAGCCCAGGCTCCGCTCTGCTTCAGACCAGCTCCCTGGGCATGCTGACGGGTGTGAAGCGAGGGCAGTTTGGGCTGGGGGGTCGTGTCAGAAATGCATCCTTGCACGGCCTCCCTTGTTTATCTGTGAGGAGCTCAGCCCTTAGCTCGGGAGGAGAGCAGGCCTGGGCGGTGGGGTGGTGTGCCTGTCCGTTAAAACATCTCCTTCCTGCCTGCAGCAGGTCAATGGCCAGCAAGGAGGGGGGTCCGAGCCGGCGGCGGCGGCGGCGGCAGTGGTGGCAGCGGGAGACAAATGGAAACCGCCACAGGTACTGACCTTAAGCATCCTCTCCCTCAGGCCCACCCGCCCGCCTGCCTGCCTGTGCGTCCCTGGGCCCAGAGAGGGCTGGCTGGGGGCAGGGCGGGAGGAACCTCGGGAACCCTTCTCTGCCTCTGGGCAGACAACTGCCCGCAGGACCACGGCCCTCGCCCTGCGCCAGTCCTGCACCCTCCCCTCCCAGCCACTGAGCCAGCCTTTGCCCTCTGCATCTGCCCTGCTCCAAGCACCAGGCAGGGCCTGTTGACAGTCTGGCCGGGCGAGGATGCCGGGGCCTGGAGCTCACGTGTTCTTAGGCATCTTGCAGGAAGGGTGGACCAAGGTTTCTAGAACGTGCATTGCTTTAGGAGCCAGAAATACGGATTTCATTTCAGACCTCTGTGTTTTACTTTAAATAAAACAACGAAGCAACGCGCACATCACAGCACGGGTCTGGCTGGGACTCAGCCCTCCCCATCTTTTTTCGGCCCCAGGCCCCAGAGTGGCTGCGGGTGGGTCTTGGCCTGTTCGATGGCCCAGCCTTGGGAGCGGGTCCTCTCGGAGGTGGAGCTGGGCCTGTGGCTGTGCAGTCGGTTCTTTGTGCTTCTCCATGGTAGTGCCCGCCTCTAGAGCATTCCAGCGGGGCCTCAGCAAGGTGGCCTGGGCGGCCTCTTGGGGCTGGGCCCTCCTCTTGGTCCCCCAGGCACGCTTAGGGGGTGGGACTGGGACATGGTATGCAGCCTGGATCCTGGGAGATGTGGGGGCTGGTGCTCCCTGGCCCTTGGCTGGCGCCCAGCCCACCATTGGTTGGTGGGAGAAGGGCCTTTTGTTTACCAAGACAAAGAGGAGATTGAAAAGTGTCTGGGGGTTGAGGGGATTGGCATTGATTACCATGGTGACAGCCTGTCTCTCAAGTCCCAGCCTCTGGCTCTTGGGCCCTCTTTCCCACTAAGGAGGAATGGGCTTGGGGCCAGCTGTGAGGGTGGCAAGGACAGGTCTAGTGTGAGCCGGACTGGGGCACCTGGTGCCACCCACAGCCAGCCTTTGACCTTCAGGGACTGGCTGGGGCTCCAGTTGCCTGGGGAGGGGTCTCCAGGGCTTCTTGCCTTTGAGCCTGGCCAGCATCCCAGCACTTGGCAAGCAGGAGGGGGTTCTTGGGGCTTAGGCCAGCCTGTCCCTTCCTGCCTCCTGTGTCCCTCTGTCCTTGCTCTGTCCTTGCTGGGAACCCTTCTCTCCTCTCTGCTGTCCCTCAAGGCTGCATCTGGAAGTCTGGGAGGGCCCAGTTGGTGGGCCAGTGGTCTTTGTGCTTGCCGAGCTGGGGGACAGGTGCAGGCATGCTGTCTGCCCACCCCATACTCCGCTGGGCCTGCTGGCCATGCCTCCCTGCTCACGCAGCTGCGTTCTTCCCTCTGCAAAAAGCTTAGAGATGGATTTTGACAGAAGGGATGTAAACATAGTCCTGGTTGGCATCAGCTTGGGTCTGCAGTGGCTGTGATTGCCCAAGGGCCTCCTGGTCCCCAGGCCCACCTGGCTGGGGCGCCGGTGGGTCTGCTCCTGGCTTCTCCCAGTGGGCCAGGCACAGCCCATGCAAGAGTGTGTGTGAGTGAGCTGGAGCCCTCTGCAGAGCTCATGTGGCCCGAGAGAGGCCTGTGTTCTCTGGGAGGTGTGCACAGTGCCTGCGGGGACTGGGGGTGGGCGGGGCGGGAGAACACTGTTGGGAGAGAGGCCCTTGTATTTGCTCCTTGGATGGCCCCTTGAAACTCCAGGGAAGCTGAGCCTGTGTCTGTGGCAGGGACTGTGAGGAATCCCAGAGGAGCCTGGGAGCAAGAGTCTCAGAATGTCCAGAGAGCCCTGGCCCTTTTCTCCTGCCTTCCTGCCTTGGAGGACAGCTGAGGCTGGCCCTCCTGCAGGGCATGTGATAGCAGCTCTGGAGTCAGACTGACAACAGGGGCTGAACCCCTTTCCTGCCTCCAGCTGTTTATCTTGGTGGCGCCCGAGGAGGCCACTGTGGCCTGGGCCCCACAACTGCTCAGGTTGGCCCAGGGCTTCCAGGGCACCTTCTTGCCTCTGTTTGTGTTCTACCCCATGGGTCCTGGGGAGACAGCAGCCTGGGCTGGGGACAGCAATGTCAGAAGGGCAGGCCTGAGTCCAGGCCAGGCAGGGGATAGCCTGTGCTAAGGCCCTGTCTCTCTGGGAAGGGGCTGGGCCACAGCCCGTGTGCAGTGTTTGGGAGACAGGTGGGGTGGCACTCCTGGGGCCGTGTGAAGGAGAACTTGAGCTTGCTGTTGACAGATTCCCCTGCTCCCCTACCAGGGCACAGACTCCATCAAGATGGAGAACGGGCAGAGCACAGCCGCCAAGCTGGGGCTGCCTCCCCTGACGCCTGAGCAGCAGGAGGCCCTTCAGAAGGTGAGCACGGACCTCCCAGGGCACTGCAGGTGTGGGCCAGTCAACTGGGGGCAGGGGCAGGGTACGGGGCAGGCCTGTCTCCCATGGGCCGGGCCCCCAGTGCTCCTCACTGCCACCTCTCTCAGGCCAAGAAGTACGCCATGGAGCAGAGCATCAAGAGCGTGCTGGTGAAGCAGACCATCGCGCACCAGCAGCAGCAGCTCACCAACCTGCAGGTGAGCCCCAGCCGGAGCCTCCACCGCCCTCCCCACCACCACCACCATCTCCTCCTCTTCACGCTCTTCCTCCTCCTGTGCCTGCGGTCATCCCCGCAAGCTGTTACAGTACTCCGATTCTCAGACTCATGCTCGGGACCCCCGGGGTCCTCTCTGAGGCACGAGTGGCCCAGCCTTTCCCACCTGTTGCTCGCTGGAGCCCCTAAAGCGCCGCAGCCCCTTTCTTGGCTGCTTGGCTGTAGCTCTATCCTGTTCCCCTTGCTGGTCTTCACACTGTGGCCTCTGGTCTCCCCTGTGCTTCCCACCCCAGCTGTGCACAGCTGATGGTGGCAGCCTGCAGGGCGTGGACCTCCCTGCCCCCGTGGCCTGGATAAGACTGCTCAGGCCCTCACCCCTGCAGTGAGTCCAGACCACCTGGGCTCAGCCCCAGGACTGAGGGGACAGTCTAGAGGCACCTGCCCTGGGGCCCTGCTTTAGGCCTGTGGCCGGAGGCTGCGATACCTTCGTGGGAAGAGGCCGGTGTGAGGCCGACAGGTTCCTGGGCCTCGAGCCTCACGCCCCCCGCCCAGCCCTCAGACATTCACGCTGCCAGGAGTTGTCCTGGCCGTACACTGCGCTCCACTGCCCTCCTCCCTCCCTCCCTTCCTCCCTCCCTCCCTCCCTCCCTTCCTTTCTGCCCCGGCCAGCCCAGCTGCAAGGCTGCAGGGCGGGGCACATGGGGCGCTGCGGCCCCCCTGGGCAGGTGCCGGCGGCCGGCAGTGTGGGAAGGCAGGCGGCCTCCCTGGCAGGGCGGGGACTCCGGGCCTTGCCGCTGTCTGCGTGAGGTGTTGACGAGAGCGGGAGACTGCTCGGCTCCAACAGACTGAACTCTGTCTTTACTGTCTTTCAGATGGCAGCAGTGACAATGGGCTTTGGAGATCCTCTCTCACCTTTGCAATCGGTCAATAGAAATGCTCACTTCTTCCGGGGCTCATGTCCTTAGTCAGGGCTAGAGGGGGGCAGTGCAGCCCACGTGCTGGGGACCTTGCTCCCCTGGCCGGCCCTGCCCGCCAGCTCTGGACGAGCGCAGCAGAGCGCCAGGCGTGGTGGGGCCAGTGGTGTGGGCACCCACCCGGGACCGCCCCTGGGGAGGCCTCCATCTGCTCTGAGGGCCCACCTTAAAACTAATCGGCCAGGTAACTGCGGAGGGCAGCCGGCCAGGGCGGGTAGCTGCCGGCACCAGGCCCGTCTGTGCCCACGCCACCTGCACGCACGGGGTGCGCCTACGGCCTCCAGCCCCGTCAGTCTCCAGGCTGCCTGGCTCTTGGGTTGGGGTCAGGCCCCTGAGGAGAGAGGGGTCCTAACTCATGGCCCCATCAGACCCTGGAGGGAGGATGGATGGATGGGGTGGGGGTGGGGGGACCCAAGCGAGCAAGGGAAGGGCAAGCAGGGCCTTGTGCCTGGCTGTCAGCAAGGGGCAGAGGCCATGCAGCCAGGGCGGAGGAGGCAGGGGCCACGGCTATGGCCTTCGCTGTGGTGGGCAAAGGAGTCCGGGAAGGAGGTGCCCCTCCCTTCCCCCAGAGGCAGGCTCAGGAGGAGGCCAGGCCCCGTCTCGGGGATCCTGAGGGGAAGATGTGGCCCCTTCTCTGGGAGCCTCTATTCAGAGGGGGCATCCCTGTGTGTGTGGCTCCCATGGGCAACACACGCCTTGTTCTCTCTGGGAAGCATCTGAGTGGGAAGCTGGGCTGGGGTCTGGTCAGGGAGAGAGCTGTTGACCTGCCTGGGGGTGGGCCCCACACTGAAAAGGAGACACAGCCCTGTCTTGGGGGAACATGACCTGAGGGACAAGCCTGGTCTTGTGTCTGGGGAGCCTGCTGACTGAGGGGGATGTGATTCCACGTTTGGGGGGCCTTGCTCTGAGTGGGGAGCCTGAGGTCTGTTAGGGGGCCCAGTTTAAGGAGAACACAGTCTCATTTTCAGGGAATGCCTAGTTTGAAGGAAGATGTCTCACCTTGGGAAGTCCCTTGATGTGGAGAGATGCTTCCAGGCCCCTCTCCATGGGATGGGGAGGTTCAGCCTGCATTAGGCCTGCCGATGTCTAAAGAGGGAAACTGGTCTCTGGCCACAAGGCCTTGTGTGGAGAGGGGCAGGGCCTGGCTCCAGCTGCCTGCTTTGCCTGCCCTGGCCCACAGTCTCCCTGTGGCCCACTGCGTGTGGCTCTGGAAGTCCCCAGCCTGGCACGTCTCCTGTGAGGTGGCAGGGGCGAGAACCCGTCCCTGAGGGTGTGGGGAGGTCCCTCAGCATAATAGCCAAGCTCACAGCCAAGGCCCTGGACCAGCTAGGCCTGTCACCTCACCAGCTCCAAGGAGCCTGAAGGCTTCTCTTAGGGTCTCTGCTACCTCATGGTGCCCCCGGGGGCCAGGCCAGTGGTCTCGCATGGGCCCGCTCTCGGCTGTGGGCACGGGCTCCAGGCAGCTCCTTTGTGAGGAGTTGCAGGGTACTGGGAAGGCGCAGCATGAGCCCCTACTGGAGTTGGCCCCGCATGAGCAGCTGCTCCTCGTTCTTTCTTCAGGGAGCCCCCATCTGGCTCCTCAGCTCCTCCCCTGGGGTCTCTTCTGGGCAGTGGCTGCCCTGTCTTCCGACCTCCTCTCTTCTGGCCACCAAACCAGTGGGTCCCTCCAGCTTGGATGGCTCCTCCTTCCCTCTTCTGTCGTGGTCCTTGGCTGGGACGGTGGGAAGATCTCCCAGCCCAGCCTGGGATACCCAGCCCCCAGACTGGAGGGGTGGTCTGGGTGGGAGGGCGCGCAGCCCTGCCTCCTGACCATCTGTCGGCTTTGCTGCCACAGTCTGCCTGGGACCTTGGCGGGCTGGGTTGCATCCTGTCCTGCCGCTGGGCCTGGCCTGCCTTCTTTGGGTGGCGGGGTCCTGCGACCCCCTCACCCTGACTGCAGGGATGGAGCCCGCACCTCCCTGCCATGTGGGGAGCCCTCCCCACAGCAGGGCTGAGTGGGTGGGCCAGGAGGGGAGTGGGCTGCCCAGCCTCCTGCCGCCCCTGACGAGCCAGCGGTTCTCTCCCCTCTGTCCTGCTGCAGATGGCGGCTCAGCGGCAGCGGGCGCTGGCCATCATGTGCCGTGTCTACGTGGGCTCCATCTACTACGAGCTGGGGGAGGACACCATCCGCCAGGCCTTTGCCCCCTTTGGTCCCATCAAGAGCATTGACATGTCCTGGGACTCTGTCACCATGAAGCACAAGGTCAGCAGGCTTGGTCTGCCCTGGCCACTTAGGGCTCGCCCCCACCCCTGGGCTCGCGCAGCCTCACAGGTGTGTCCTTGTGTCTAGGGTTTTGCCTTCGTGGAGTATGAGGTCCCTGAAGCTGCACAGCTGGCCTTGGAGCAGATGAACTCGGTGATGCTGGGGGGCAGGAATATCAAGGTGAGGCGGGGAGCCAAGGCCTTGATCCCACAGGCGTGCAGGGCTGCCCCTCCATAGAAGTCTTTTGTGGCCGGGCCTGGGTTGACGGGTCTCTCCATCTCACCCACTCTTCCCCAGGTGGGCAGACCCAGCAACATAGGGCAGGCCCAGCCCATCATAGACCAGCTGGCTGAGGAGGCACGGGCCTTTAACCGCATCTACGTGGCCTCTGTGCACCAGGACCTCTCAGACGATGACATTAAGAGTGTGTTTGAGGCCTTTGGCAAGATCAAGTCTTGCACACTGGCCCGGGACCCCACAACTGGCAAGCACAAGGGCTATGGCTTCATTGGTGAGCTGGGGCGGCTGAGGCGGGATGGGGGCCACCTGAGGCTGGGGCTGGCCCTGCTCACTGCTGCTACTGCCCACAGAGTACGAGAAGGCCCAGTCGTCCCAAGATGCTGTGTCCTCCATGAACCTCTTTGATCTCGGTGGCCAGTACTTGCGGGTGGGCAAGGCCGTCACACCACCCATGCCCCTACTCACACCGGCCACGCCTGGAGGCCTCCCACCTGCCGCTGCTGTGGCAGCTGCTGCAGCCACTGCCAAGATCACAGCTCAGGTGAGGGCCCACACATCTGTGCCAGCTTGAGGGTGGGCGGGCCGGGCCCTGATTCCTTGGAGACTGATTCAAGGTGGTCTTGAGTAGCCAGACCAGGGACTGAGCATGGTGACCTTTTGGGTTGCAGGAAGCAGTGGCCGGAGCAGCAGTGTTGGGTACCCTGGGCACACCTGGACTGGTGTCCCCAGCACTGACCCTGGCCCAGCCCCTGGGGACTTTGCCCCAGGCTGTCATGGCTGCCCAGGCACCTGGAGTCATCACAGGTGAGTCCAAGTGGTACCAGATCCTTTCCTCTCCTGTCCTGGCATCTCTAGGCTCGCTGCCCTCAGCTGCCTGGCCCTGTTGGTCTGGCCGCAACCCTCTGAGCCCAGGGCAGGCCATGGCTGGTCAGTTCTGTGCCTTTCTGGGAAGGAGGGTGGTAGGGAGTGACTGATGGACCTGAGTGGTTTTCCTGCAGGTGTGACCCCAGCCCGTCCTCCTATTCCGGTCACCATCCCCTCAGTGGGAGTGGTGAACCCCATCCTGGCCAGCCCTCCGACGCTGGGTCTCCTGGAGCCCAAGAAGGAGAAGGAAGAAGAGGAGTTGTTTCCCGAGTCAGAGCGGCCAGAGATGCTGAGCGAGCAGGAGCACATGAGCATCTCGGGCAGCAGCGCCCGCCACATGGTGATGCAGAAGCTGCTCCGCAAACAGGAGGTAGGCAGAGGGGTGGGATAGTGGCCAGCGGGGAGGTGGGGGAGGTAGGGGGCAGGGCCGCAGCACTCAGCTGTCTCCCCTCGCCCCGGCCCCACAGTCCACAGTGATGGTTCTGCGCAACATGGTGGACCCCAAGGACATCGATGATGACCTGGAAGGGGAGGTGACAGAGGAGTGTGGCAAGTTCGGGGCCGTGAACCGCGTCATCATCTACCAAGAGAAACAAGGCGAGGAGGAAGATGCGGAAATCATTGTCAAGATCTTTGTGGAGTTTTCCATAGCCTCCGAGACTCATAAGGCCATCCAGGCCCTCAATGGGCGCTGGTTTGCTGGCCGCAAGGTGGTGGCTGAAGTGTACGACCAGGAGCGTTTTGATAACAGTGACCTCTCTGCGTGACATTGGCCCCTCTCCCTGGACTTGCACTTGTTCCTTGTTTCCTCTGGGTTTTATAGTGATACAGTGGTGTCCCCGGGGCCAGGCGCACTGTGCCCAGCCCGGCCTATAGTGCGGATAAAGGTGCGGATGCTGCTGGCCCTGAACGTCCGTGTGTCTGCCATCGGTCCTGTCACCCATCCTGGGTGTGTGTCCTTAGGGCGTCTAGGGCGAGGAGGCCGGAGTGGGGGTGGTCTCTGGACCTGCTTCGTGGAAGCAGGCGGGGCTGGCCGTGGGGCGAGACCTGGGCAGGGGGTTGGCTCCCTGGGCTCCGTCCCGCGGGTGGCGGCAGCTAGGTGGGCGGGGCTGCCTGGGGCGCCGGGCGCTCGGGCGCGGGCTCGCAGCCATCCCCGCAGGGTGGTCCTGACAGAAGGGGGACACCGCGACCCGCCGGACAGCGCGCGCTGCCAGTGTGCTTTTGTGCCGTAAAGTCGGTCGTCCAAGGCGAGGGAGCGGGCGGGCGGGCGGGCGTGGTCGCTTCCCGGGAGGAGGCCGCGCATTGAGATTCGTGGCCAGGGGTCGGCTGAAAACGGCTGCGGAGGGCGCGGCCGCTCGTGGACTGTAGTTCCCGCAATCCCACGCGCGGGGCGGGCCCGGTTTCCCGGCAGGCTTTGCGCGGGGCAGCTACGGGTCCTCGGAAGCGACCGCGCGGGGCCTTCTGGGGGCCGCAGTCCGGGCGTACTGGGCGGCGAGGGCCGGACTCGGCTTCCCGACGGGCTGCGCGGCGGCTGGGTGGGTGTCGGCGGGGCAGTCCGGCGGGCAGCGGCGGTTCCGGTGCGGCACAGCGGGCGGACGAGCGAGGGGGACGAGCTGAGCGGGACCAAGCGGGATGCGGAGCCGCCGCCGCCGCTTCCCCCGCCTCCTGAGAGTGTGAGACCCGCCGGGCCGCGCCCCCTGCCCAGGCCCGCAGTCCGAGCATTCCGAGCGCGGGCCGGGCCCAGCGCCGGCCGCGGCCGCGTCCCCGTCCAGTCTCCGGCGGCCCGCCCCCTGCCTGCGCCCCCTCCCCATGCGCGGCGCCCATGCGGACTGAGCCCCGCCCCCCGGCCCCGAGCCCGCCGAGCGCCGCCGCCGGAGCCCGCGCCGCCCACCCGCACCATGCTCAAGTGCATCCCGCTGTGGCGCTGCAACCGGCACGTGGAGTCGGTGGACAAGCGGCACTGCTCGCTGCAGGCCGTACCCGAGGAGATCTACCGCTACAGCCGCAGCCTGGAGGAGCTGCTGCTCGACGCCAATCAGCTGCGCGAGCTGCCCAAGGTGAGCGGCTGCCCGCACCTGCCGCCCAAAGGCGCGTCCCCAGCCCCTGGTTCCGCCGGTGGCAGAATCTGCCCGGGCGAGCCACCGCAGCCTCCAGCCGGCCCTGCTGGTTTGCACTGGCCAGGTCCCCACCCCAGCCAGCCCCACCCTCCTCTCCCAGCCGCCCTGGCTGGCGCAGGTGGCAGCGCTCATCAGGTGCTTGCCTGGGGATAGCGATTGTCACCGCGCCTGGAGGAGGAGCCTGAGAATGAAAACCATAGGGATTCGGGGAGGTCGATGGGATTAGGGTGGAACTTGGATTCAGGTGACTGATGAGTACTACTTGTTGGACTGTTCTGGAGATGGGGTCCAGGCCTCCTCTCCTTTTCTTCCTGGGTGCAGGGGTGAGTGGGGGAGCCCTCCTGATGTGGCCTTTGCACTCGGATCTACTCGCTGTCCCTCTCTCTTTGTCCTTGCTTCTCATGGTCAGTTGCTCTCCTAAGGCTCTTCCAATTAAGGAGGTGGAAACACAGATTAAGAAGTATTTCTTTTCTGGAGATGGGGTGCTGAGTGGCCAATACCTAGGAGTTGGGTGTCCCAAAGAATGTGACCCTGTTCTGGCCCTGGCAGTGACAGCACAGTTCTCCGTGGCCACCTGCAGGCTTTGCACATAGCACCATGCCTGTGGTACTTTGCTGTTTTTGTTAACGTTTTTGGGGGGAGCATTTGCTGAGTTCTTACTGCAGAACCACGCCAAGGTTGTTATTGGGATGCAGTAGCAGAGACCAGTGTGAGCCCTTGGAGGGTGGCAGAAGTGGTTCGGGGCCTGGGTAGGCCGAGATAAGACACAGTGCAGGGGATTGGAGTTTTGTCTGGTCACCAGCAGGTGTCTTCTCAGAGCAGAGGCTGGTGTGAAGAGTGGAGGGAGGTGGACACAGTGGGCATGTGCACCGTGTGTTTCTTTGCTTTTCTTGCCACAAACGGGGTGTCATGGTTAGACCCCAAGATCCTGTGTGACCTGGAGCAGGCAGAGGCCTAGGGACCCTTGGCTTGTGATACCCACGTGTCCAGGAGCTCTTCTCTGCTCTGGAGTGGCCTCTGCCACAGAGTCCGTGTCCTCCCTGCCCACAGCCCTTTTTCCGGCTGCTGAACTTGCGCAAGCTGGGCCTGAGCGACAACGAGATCCAGCGGTTACCTCCCGAGGTGGCCAACTTCATGCAGCTGGTGGAGCTGGACGTGTCCCGGAATGGTGGGGAGCCTGGGCAGGGGCTGGGTGGAGTCTGGGGAGTGTCTGCTGGGGCTGCAGACGTCCTACAGGCCATGGCAGCTGTCCACTTTGATCCTCTGTAATAGATATCCCTGAGATCCCAGAGAGCATCAAGTTCTGCAAGGCTCTGGAGATCGCGGACTTCAGCGGGAACCCCCTTTCCAGGTGGGTGGCAGCCTGTGGTGGGGTCGGTAGGGGCTGTGGATCCCACAGCCGTGGTCTGGTTGTCCGACACCTTCTGCTTCCTCCCATCCAGGCTCCCCGATGGCTTCACTCAGCTGCGCAGCCTGGCTCACCTGGCCCTGAATGATGTGTCCTTGCAGGCACTGCCCGGGGACGTGGGCAAGTGAGTGCCCTCGCACGTGGAGTCAGGGTGGGATGGGGGGCTTGGATTGGCCCTGCCCCTGCCACCGCTGCCTGCCTTCCTCGTGCCTCAGCCCTTGGTCTCTCTTTTAGCCTCGCCAACCTGGTGACCCTGGAGCTCCGGGAGAACCTGCTCAAGTCCCTGCCAGCGTGAGTGTGTCAGGCATTCTCCCAACGGCCAGGGCAGGGCTACAGCCTAGGGACCAGAGCTGCATGGCCCCACCCCCACCTTGCTTTCTCTGCAGGTCCCTGTCTTTTCTGGTCAAGCTGGAACAGCTGGATCTGGGAGGCAACGACCTGGAAGTGCTGGTGCGCAGAGGCCTGACAGGGCGGAGACCGGAGGGCGGGCCAGGAGAAGCAAGGGCAAAGAAAGGGGGACAGCGAGCAGATCCAACAGCAAGGGGCACATCAGGAGGGCAGGCAGGGGGAGCTGGGCGTGGGGCCATGTAGTCTCCTGGGCATGGCACAGCAGGAGGCCCTGCCCCGCGGTCACTATTCTCTCTGTTCTTTCTTGCAGCCGGACACTCTGGGGGCTCTGCCTAATCTTCGGGAGCTGTGGCTTGACCGGAACCAGTTGTCAGCACTGCCCCCGGTGAGTCAGGGTGGGGCTGGCCCCCTGCTTCGCGCCCATCCGCACTCTGACTCTCCACCTGCCTGCAGGAGCTTGGGAACCTGCGGCGTCTGGTGTGCCTGGACGTGTCGGAAAACCGGCTGGAGGAGCTGCCTGCTGAGCTCGGCGGGCTGGTGCTGCTCACTGACCTGCTGCTGTCCCAGAACCTGCTGCGGCGGCTGCCCGACGGCATCGGTTAGTGCGCCTGGGGGTGCCCGGGTGGGGCGCACAGAGCCTGGCCCTGGGAGGAGCATGAGGCGTCGGGGCCTTGTGTGGCATGGAACACAGGAGGATCCTGAGTCTGCCCAGGCTCTGGGAGCTGTGCCTGAGGAGGGGAGGGGAGGTGGGACCCTGGGGCAGCCCCGAAGGCTGAGGAGGCAGCTGGTGGTGCTGGAGGGGGCGGTGGAGCCTGTGAGGGCAGAAGGGTGGGCAGCGTCACTGGGGCCTGGTGTTTTCTCAAAAGAGGTTGGGTCAGGCTGTGGGGGCAAGGTAGGTAGGGTCCTCCTGAAGTATGGCGGCAGCAAGAGGGGCTGGGGGCCTCGCTGTTTGCCTTGAGAGCGCCTTTAGCCAGGTGGGTGAGGCACGTCTGGGGCCTGTGCTCAGCCGTGTCACCCTGTCTCCCCGGTGCCAGGTCAGCTGAAGCAGCTGTCCATCCTAAAGGTAGACCAGAACCGGCTGTGTGAGGTGACCGAGGCCATCGGGGACTGTGAGAACCTCTCAGAGCTGATCCTCACGGAGAACCTGCTGATGGTAGGGTCCGGCTCGGGAGGCAGAAAGGACGGGGCAGTCGGGCGTGTGGAACAAGGGCGGGGCATCAGCCTGTGTGCGCTGCTGGGGGGTGCTGGTGGCAGCCTGACTCGTGGAGCCACTCGGGAAGGGCCCTTCTGTCAGAGCGGGAGCATGCTGGCCAGAGTGAGGCGGGGCAGCGAGGCCAGGGCAGGGCCCTTTGCCATTTACTGTGAAGAGTCCAGGTCTTGTCTTTTCCGGCACATGTTGTAACACTGGGGAGTGATTGCAGAAGAGGCAGGGGTAGGAACTGATTTGCCTATAGGGAAGACAGGTGGGGAGCAGGCTGCTCTCCCGGGGCATCTCCCTGCCCCTCACGAAGCAAGGCAAGCTGAGGCCCCGGGCCGGGGCTCCAGACGATGGTGCTGCCATCCCCAGGCTGGAAAACAGGAGCTAGCTGTGGGTAGGGTGTTCATGGGAGTTTCCATGGGGGCGTTCTCATTGAGAGGGAGAAAGGGATTCTGGGGTTCAGGGCCCTAGGAAGGGGCTGGCCCTGAGCAGGCTGGAACTGGGACCTGGGGCGCCCTAGGGATGACAGAGCAGACCAGTGAGGCACCAGACAGGCTCACAGGGTGTAGCCTCGCAGGTAGTCCAGGGAACCCATGGAAAAGGGCCGGGGATGACTCTGGTGGGATGTTTTGGTGGTGGGGACTGAAGGTTGAGGTCAATGGCCAGAGCTTGGGGAGCAGAGGACATGGAGTGGGGTGGAGACAGCCTCTGTGGTCGGCTCCCCGTCCAGGTCTCCAAGGGCTGTGAGGGACCCTGGTTGGAGCTGACTGAGCTGGAGTGTCTGTGCCCTCCCCCCAGGGGCTGTCATCTCCTTCCCAGCCCTAGCAAGCCCCTAGCGT